ATGCTCTTGTAATGCCTGCTGCTGCCTTAATCACCAAATAAAACAAGCAGAAAGGGAGTCTCAACATTTTTTTACTGCCATATTTTCCCTGCGTCGGGGCTTACAAGGATGTCCATAACTCCCAGTCAAGAGCCTATGAAAGAAAATCCCAGCAGAATTAGCACTATCGGCTCTAGCTGGAAACATCGACATATCAAGACCAAGGCCAGCCTTCTCGTTCGGCACCGAGCCCGCACCCAGGGGCATCAGGGAGTGTGCACGGAGCTAGAGTCCTCCTCAGTGGATCGGACCAGCTTTTCCTTTCAGACCTACAGAATTTACAACCAGAGAAATGAAATAATAAGATGAGGTCAGTCTCCTCCTCTTCACCATATTCCTCTCCACCAAAGAGCATGTGGCTGAGAAATAGAGCTTATGAATCCTGATCAGCATCCTGGCTCTGCTCAACACAGACCCTGCAGGATGTGTTTCCTCCTTTATGCTGGTTTTCCAGAATGCCTCTCTAACTTGCCCAAAGCCCTCTGAGGGCACAGTAATGTTATGTACCCTCCTCTTTCTCTTCCACTTGCTTAGTACCTGACTTAGTTAACAAATATTGATGGGAGGGCGACTGAATGGTCTCAGTCATTGGTCCACATTGATAAACTACCCCTGGGGGAACCAGGAGAAAGGAGCAGCCTCCCAATGGCTAAAGCTTTTCCTTTTGCAACGCTTGCTTCCTCAAAGGTTCATATACATATAGGCTTCTCGGTTGTAGTGCTGGAATTCCCGCTGAAGTCCAACTTTAGGGGCACCTGGGTGGCTCAGTGGTTGAGCATCTGCCTTTGGCTCAGGGCATGATCCTGGGGTCCTGGGATCAAGTTCCACATCGGGCTCCCTGCATGGAGCCTGCTTCTCCCTCTGCCTGTGTCTCTGCCTCTCTCTCTGTCTCTCATGAATAAGTAAATAAAATCTTAAAAAAAAAAAAAACCCAAAACCCTAGGTTGCAGAGCTGCTGTGAGGATCACAGAGTTCATGCATGTAAAATGCTGCAGGCCCACAGCAAGTACTCCAGGCACCTTGGTGTTGCTGTGTCCTCTGCAGTGTGCTGGGGGCTTACAAACAGCTGCATTTAGTTCCAGCCATAACCCTACAAAGAAGTTGCTACTATTATCACCCCCACTTGGCAGAGGAAGAAACTGAAGCTAAGAGAAGTGCAGTAGCTCATCTGAGGACAGAAAGTGTAAGTGTCAGGAGTCTAAGCCAGGCCTGTCTCATTCTAAGCTATGTACTTCCTGCCCACTGCACCGCTTCCTGGATGACCCCCCCCCACCCCACCCCCCCTCACACACCAAAACTATGTCACACCAGAATTAGAAACACATGTGTACATATGACTGGACCCCAAAATGGTCAGCTATGAACCTCATTATCTAGGGATTCCAAATGTCTCTCCTTCAAACTGTTTCCTTTTTTGAGTTCAAGGACCATGTTTTTTGCATCTTCCCCAAAGAAAACAGCAAAAAGTCCTGACACACAATGGGCACTCAGTACTCACTGGATTTACACAGAAATTCACAGAAGTGGAACTGTGTCCTGGTTCAGAATACTCGATCAAACAATCCAAACAAACCATGAATTCCCTAAAGCTTTGGAAACCTTGCCCAACACAGCGCGTGTTTTCTGGAGACAATGAGGGTTTTTGAGCTGAAGCCGAGCATTTCTAATCTCATCAAAAAAAAAAAAAAAAAAAAAAAAGACCATCATGTGAGTGAAAACTATTCCTATCAGGCCTCTAGGTGGGATTAGGGGAAGGGCCTCCCATGCTGCTACCAAACCTGCTAGAGTTAGAGGCTTCAAAAAGGATATAATCTTAGGATAGTGGGTCATTTTGTCCTGGTTTCTCCCCAAGTGTTATGAAGGCTACTGCATTATTGCTGGTATTCTGGCAACAGATCTGGGTATTACCAAACATTCTAGATCTGTTTCCCCATCTGAGGTCAAGAGGGGGTGAGGGCTGGCCAGCAGCCTCACTATCCCAGATGTGGGCACACATCTCGAACAGTCAATGTGGGGCTGTGGGTACGACAGGTCAGAGCAAACAGGGGTGGGAATGAATGGAAAGAAACTGGGTATGACCTAATTTATTTCTAAGAACTTTTAGCAGAGATTTTGTTGGGATGTCTCTATCTGGTGACCCCTGAGTGTTGTAGCATTTCATCTCTGGATTTTGAGGTAAGCAGTGCAGTAGAGGCAGGGCTAGGACTGGGGGGCTGAGAGGTGACCTGAAGATGGGGATGGTAGCAGCAGACTCCCACTGACTCCAAAATCACAGCACGACACAGCTGTCCACCTGGGCTTGCCAGAGAGACTGGTCAGTCCCTACGTGAAGGGGTGTGCTTGTGTGCTTGTGGTCTGGGAGTAAGCACAGAGTCTGAGGTCAGGAAGCCTTTATTTAACTTCCACTTGCCACTTGTTAGAGCTTTATGATGTTTGATGAGTTACTAAGCCTTCCTCTCCTCATCCGTAGAATGGGAATAATAGTGAAACACACTTCAGAGGGATGTTGGGATGATATGTGATAATGCAGAGAAAAGAACACAGCATCAAAGGATTAGGGCTCAGGGGAAGCACTCCGTGGCCGCACCGCCGCTGATCTTTTCATGTTGCCGAGAATGAGAATACCCTGTCAATATATTAGTGTCTTGCATTTTCCTTTTTTTTTTTTTAAAGATTTTATTTATTTGAGAGTGTGTGTGTGTGTGTGTGTGTGTGTGTGTATGTGAGAGAAGGAGATCATGAGCAGGGGGGAGAGGGAGAAGCAGACTCCCCGCTGAGCGGGGAGCCCAACGCAGGGCTCAATCCCCAGACCCTGTGATCACGACCTGAGCTGAAGGCAGACACTTAACCAACTGAACCATCCAGGGCCCTGTGTCCTACATTTTTACATACATGTAACAATTGACACACACACACACACACACACACACACAGGAGCTTCTTTGTGTATGTTGTGGCTGATTCCCAAAATAACCCTGGAGAAGGGCAGGACAGAAATGACTGCGTGGTGTTACAGGTGAGGAAGTGGAAGCTGACAGTGGGGAGGGTCTGTTGGAATTCACGAGCTGCAACTGGGCTGGTGTTGCCCCTGCACCCACTCCACAGCTACCTGCGAGGAGACCAAGAGGCCAAACACCCAGAGGAAAGAACTGGAAGTCTGCCTGCCCATGAGAGAGGGCAGGAAGATTCCAACCTCGTCTGGTCTGGGCTAGTCTTGTTCATCCACTTGTTACTTGGGACCACATGGATTTTGCAACCCTTAGAGGTTGTGGTTTAATGTCTGAGAGCACCACTGTGGGGAGCCCCGTTTCCCACTGCCAAGGGAAGGGCATGTTACTTCCAAATAAATTGAGGGTGTTATTTGAATTGTTGTCTATTTAGATTTTTATCAGAGAAAATTCTTTTCTTTTTGTGGGGAAGTGCAGAGGGAGAGGGAGAGGGAGAGAGAATCTCAAGCAGACTCCATACTGAGCTCAGAGCCCCAGGCGGGGCTTGATCTCATGGCCCTGAGATCATGACCTGAACCAAAACGAAGAGTCAGATGCTCAACCGATGGCGCCACCCAGGCCCTGAGAAAATTTTAAAACATGGACAGGTAGAGATAAGCGTCTGATGAAACCCCAGTGCTGACCCTCCAGTGTTAACAACCCTTGCTCCTGGCTGACCTGTTTCACCCACACCTCTGGCCGTCTACCCTGCTCCCTGACTTTTCTTTAAGGAAATACTTGGGGAGTTAACAAGCAGTTCAGACTCCTGCTGTGCCCCCACAGATTTACATCCAGCAGGCCTGGAGTGGCTGGGGATTTGTTCTCATGCCTGCCACCCTTTCCCCCCAACAGGTGACATGAAAGGCAGACACCGAACTGGGGGACCTCTGAGGGCTCCTCCATTTGCAAGTGGATGATTCTGTAAGTGACAACCAGGCACTAGGTGCTGTGAGGGGAAGTGGGCAAACCCTTCAGCTCTGCAGCCGTCTGAGGGCCCGTTGCAGAGGACTGAGGGTCCTGTCTCTCTCTCTCACACACACACACACACACACACACATAGTGGCAGAAGCAGACAGAGATCATATGGAGGAAGAAGGCTCATCCTTGGGCCTGTGAGTGAAGGCTTTCCCCCAGAGAGCACACTCTGTTGCTGGGCCTGTCACCTGCAGCCTGATGGTCCGTAGTCACCTACCAACCACCTCCCTTCACCTGTGTCCTCCTCATGTCGCCTTTATTTCCCTGAAGCCTAGCACAGTAACTGCCCACAGGGGCGAATTGTGTGATGTTGATAATATTCGACGGCTCTTTACCTTCAAAATATCAACTTCATGACTCCACTTTACACACAGTAGGTGCCCAGTGAAGGAATAAGCAAGGATTGGGTTAAACAGCTCTGACACGCCAGCTACCGAGCTAGTATTTCTGGCCAACACCACAATGGCGTAAGGGGTGGGATCTCCAAGTACAGATGAAGAAACTGAGGCAGGGTACATGGAAGTGCTTATCGCATGGGGATGATTACTATGTGTTCAACGTATGGGAAAGAAGATTCCTATTATTCTCCAAAGCCGGGCAGCTGCCACAGTGGGGCTGGGATTTGAAACCAGTCATGCCTGGCTCCAGTCAGGCTGCCTTACCAAGCAGTCTCTGTGCTGGAAAAGCAGTAAACTTCAGTGGCCTCTGAAAGGAGATCCAGGTCACCAAGGTTAATATACAAACATATGAAAAATATAAGCCACTTGGCAAGTCCCAGACAATGAGGAATTTCAGGATAAGGAAGAAAATTGAGGGAGCTGGTCTACATTATTTTGTTTTTAGTAGAGCACTGCTATATTTCAAGGACGGTGGATACCAAAGCATGTCCCCAATGGCCTGTCTTGCTGGTGTTCTCATCCATGCTGAGTGAGGACAAGCACGTTTGACCCTGGCAGACCACATGGAACACACCGAGGCAGGAAAGCCGCTCCTTCTTACCTCTTTGCCCTGTCTTTCTCATCTTCATCCATTAGATTTTCTATGCAGTTTTTCCTGCAAAAAAGAACAGAGGATTACTGTCTGCTTCTAGACCTTTCTTAGGTCTATCCAGGTGTCATCATTTTGGTCCTATCTAACGCCCCCCCGCCCCCTCCCCTGCCCCAGACTTAGCCTAGAGGTTCTCAAACTTTCTGGTTCCGGTAAAACCCTTTACACTCTCAAAAATTACTGAGGACACCAAAGAGTTCTTGTGTATGTGGGTTGAAGTGAGAAATCTTAAATATGCGAGCCTTCATTCCATTAGGTATCAGGGCCATACAATCATCAGATGTCAAGGAGCTTCTAGAAAAGTTCACTATATTCACGAGAGTAAAAAAGGCAAAGAATGTGTTAATATTAGGAAAGTTGTTTTGACCTCCTGGACCCCCCAGGGATCCCCAGATCACACTTGGACAACTGTTGTCTAGATCCAGCTCAGTGAAGTGTCTGTTTATCTCAGACCTTAACCTGCAAGGTGCCTATGACATTACGAAGGACCGCAATCATACATCTGTTCACTCAAATACACAAACCCCGCTTACATGCAGCCAGGAAGAAACGGGGCCCCAAAATATGACAATCCATAGTCCTTCAAGGCATTTACACTTCCCTAGACAGTCAAGGCACACAAATGCGAAAAATTAAGTAACAATCCAGGAACGTTCTCGCAGCCCAAAGGCATCAGAGACTCCCTCACTGCCCAGAGCCTGTACTCTCCCGGGCGGCTGGCTGGATGTCTTAAGGCCCACAGATGTGGGTTCCTCTGCCACACGCAGGCCTGTGTCTTCACGCCTCAGAGCCATGGCTCTGACTCCTTATTTCATTCACACGTGTCCCACAGTCCTGCGTGTCTGGGGTGCATCCCCTCCAGGCAGCCCTGGGTGCAGAAACACTCTGAGGGTGGCCCACGAGGCCAGAGCCTGCGGGGAGAACTGGAGGTGAAGGCCGTGGTGGCCGAGGGGGCAGAGTGAGTGGGATCAGGGTGGGAACCCCGGAAGAGCTGAGTCACCAGTGCCCACACACTTCTCTTCCCAGAGGGCCTGAGGTCAGGAGGCCCAAACCGACACTCTGCGACCGCACCGACACCCTCAAAACTTCAAGTAGCAAATACTTTTTAATGGGGCACACAGATCTCTGTCTAAGATCAACTGGTTTTGTGATGTGGGTCCGACAGGTGCATAGGGATGGGTGGGAGCCCGGCAAGGAGGGAGAATTCTGTGGCTCCACACGCGCACACTCAGCGTGCACACACCCTGCTCCATTCAGTCACCCACAGCCTCGCTTTAGTGATAGGTTCGGGAGACACGGCCGTCCCGAGTTGAGGCTTGCAGCGTAATTAAAATGGGGTTACTGCATCTGCACAGAGGCCTGTGCTTAATGCTTTCCAGGTGGAATCTGTTCAGTTTTAAGATGCAAAAAAAGTGGTGTCACCTTCTTTAGTGATGCACGACCCCAGATCTGTGCTCCCAGGGACGTGCTGGCTGCCCATGTGAGCAGGACGTGAGCAAGCACCCAGCGGAGCCAAGGCCTTAGCCAGGTGCCCCTGGGCAGAGCATGTTTGAGAGGGAGGGATGTGGGCTTCACTCTGCTTTCCTGAGGTTCTGGAATCCTGCAATTACTGGGATTACTGGGATTGCTTAGTCATAAATGAAAACTTACAAGTGACTAATAGCTGTTCTTTATCAGCCACGTCTTCTCTGTTTTATATTTGTCCTTAAACATTTCCTGAATCCATGAAACCTTGATGACCTATACCCACTTCCTCTTCTCCCCTATCCCTCCCGTTCCCTTGCCTGATTCCTGTCACCTGACCCCTGTCTACACCATTCTGCTCAATGGCAGGTGTGTGATGAGAAGACACCTAAGCCAAGTTCCCCAGGAGAACCTGCCACAGGGGCTCCACACTCAGATCCTTACTGTCTTGTCACTGAGCCTATTGTCTCCCATGCCCTCCTCATGGGCCTTTTTTTTTTTTAAAGATTTTATTTATTTGAGAGAGAGAGAGAGAGTGAGCGAGCAAGCATAAGGAGGGGGAAAGAGGCAGAGGGAGAGGGAGAAGCAGACTCTCTGCTGAGCAGGGAGCCCAAAGTAGGGCTCAATCCCAGGACCCTGAGATGATGACCTCAGAGCCACCCACAGGCTCCTCCATCTTTTTTTTTTTTTAATACTAAAACAACCGTGGTGAAATACACATTACATAAAATGTATCACTTTTAAGTGGACAGTTCAACAGCGTTAAGTGCATTGCTCTTGTGCAACCATCACCACCATCTGAGGGACTCTTTTCTTGGTGCAAAACTGCAACTCTGTGTCCATCCTACACTGACTCCCCATTCCCTCTCCCCTAGACTTTGCCATCACCACTCTCTCTGTCTCTATGGATTTGACTATTCTACATTTGTCACACAGGTGGAATCATACAGGACAACTACTGTTGTCCTTTTGTGGCAAGCTGATTTCACTTTTAGCATAACGTCCTTAAGATTTATCACATCATAGCGTGTATGGGGATTTTCTTCCTTTTTAAGACTGAATAATCTTGGGGATCCCTGGGTGGCTCAGCGGTTTAGTGCCTGCCTTTGGCCCAGGGCATGATCCTGGAGTCCCGGGATCGAGTCCTGTGTCGGGCTCCCGGAGTGGAGCCTGCTTCTCCCTCCTCCTGTGTCTCTGCCTCTCTCTCTCTCTCTCTATCATAAATAAATAAATAAATCTTTAAAAAAAGACTGAATAATCTTCCATTGTGTGTTTATACCACTTTTTATTTATCCCATCATCTGTCCATGCACTCTGAGTGGCTTCCACCTTTTGACTACCACCAGTAGTGCTGCTAGGAACATGGCTGTACCCCCTACCCTCATTTTTGAGCCATCCTTTTATTTCATGATGTGGAGAAGTTAGGGCCCAAAAGCACAAAAGAAAGGGGGAGAAAATCTTTCCTGTGAGATCTGGTTAAAGGAACAGTAGAGAAGTTTAAGAGGCGGCACCTATTGCTCTCAATTGCGTAGGATTTTGAGCAAAAAAAAATTTTTTTTCATGATCACACAGAACCAGGGAAGAGAACATGGAGCTTAGGTGAAGGCAGAGAAGATTCTGTATGGAGGTGAGAAGATAACTGCTGATGTGATTAACCCCCAGAGTGAATAATGGAGGGATACTATAGAATCTTCACTCTGGACAACCACATATTCTAAGTGCATTAGACATTTATGAGATCTATTAGTCAAAGTCCCAACAGGAGACAGGACTTCGATAGAAAGGGTGGGTGGGGTCTAGGGGAACCAAGAGGGATGGTGTGGTTACTAGGGTTAGTATCAGACGAGCTGTTAACCCCCCTGAGAGTGAAGGGATCAGAAGGAAATAGTTTCCCAAATCTGGAAGGAGTGTGTCCTATAGGGTAGGGGGCATTTGGTGGAAGGAGGCAGCCAGCCTGAAGAAACCTTTTAAGAGGGGAGTCAAGGGAATAAATACCTCACCTCACTCTCTGCCCATCCTGTCCGGCTGGTGTTGCCTATGGGATACACCACCCAGAAGGGTGAGGCAGGGGGCCCATGATGTCATCCGTATGGGGGAGCCCCGGGTACAGAGGAGGGTGGAAAGGTGTGAAGTGGAACAGGAAGGATAGTCAGTAATGTTCATTTATGAGAGGCTCCTCCAGTTCTGGGTTTCTTGGATTTTCTGGAACACAAACTATTTGGAGCCTTTCAAAACCCTTTACATTTCCCCAAATTTGAAGTATAAGCATCTGCATCTAGGAACTAAACACTCAAGAAATAATAACACAATCGTGATGAGAGGCTGAGGAAAGAGAGACTAGCAGAGAAGATCCTTGGAACTATTTAAGTCACAAAGTCGGTAATGATAGACTGTAACCTACAGAAGAAACTTCTTGAGTCCATAGGGATACAAATCATTAACCAGATAAATCAATGGGCAGTTGGGGAGGAGGACAGATCTCCCTTACAGAACGACTCCAATTCATAAAGGTAAAAGGAATACAGGAAATAGAAAATCACATCAGTACCCCATAGTAATAATTTTTGCAGGCAAGATCCATTGATGGATGTTGAAATTAATATCCAAAAGTTTGAGAAGACTCAGGATATCTGCATAAAGTATCTCCTTCAATATATTTATTAACTACAAAGAAGAATGGTAACTTTATAACTGGGGGCGGTTGGCAGACACTACCTTCCCTAGGGGTCAAAATCAACATCACCAGGGTAAGTTAGACCCAAGTCTTTTGGTGGAAATAAGTGCTCATTCTCTTGGGTGTTTATAACCAGGTAGGAGTGTAATTGCTATATTATAGGGTGGCCATATGCTTAGTTTATCAAAAACTGCCAATTGTTTTCCAAAGTGACTGCACAATTTTATATTTGCACCAGGAGCATGTGAGAGTTCCCGCGGTTCCACATTCTTGCCAACACTTGGTATTGGTTTCTTACTTTTAGTCATTCTAGCGGGTGTGTTGTGGGATCTCACTGGGATTTGAATTTGCATTTCCCTCATGATTGATGACACTGAGTATCTTTTCATGTGCTTACTGACCACCAAGATAGCTTCTTCAGTGAGATGTCCAAGTTTTTTGCCCATTATTTTTCTTTCTTTTCTTTCTTTCTTCTTAAAACTTGGGCCATTTGTCTTCCTTGTACTGATTTGTAAAGGTTTCTCTCTTCTGCCCACGGAACTTTGCCAGATCTAGAGATCAATTTGTGAACATTTTCTCCCAGTCTGTGGCTGGCCTTTGCACTTTCTTGATGGTATCTCTTGGTGAACAGATAAAGTCCAGTTTATAAATTTTTAATTTCATGGTTAGTGATTTTGTGTCCTCAGAAATCTCTGCCACCTCAGTGTCATGAAGAATTCTCCTGTTTCCTTCTAAAAGCTTTATTATTTTAGCTTTTACATTTAGATCTATAGTCCATCGCAAATTAAATTTTATGTGTGGTGTAAAACAATGGTCAAGGATCTTTTTTTTTTTCCTTGCTCCAATCTGGACATTCAGTTACTCTGGG